GTCTTTGGAAATCTTTATATTACCTAAAAAACAAATTTAGTTTTATTTTTTATAATTTTTTATAAATTTAGTTAAACTTTTTATAAATAATAAATTGTTTTCTTTTAATTTCCATATCAATTCTGTTGTAAATAAGGTAAGATTACCTTTTATAGCAATTTTTTTACTTTCCTTGTGTGTTCCAAAAGGATTGCAACACTTTGTAATTTTTCTCTCAAAATATTTTCCATAGAATTGGTCATGATAACAACATATAATTCTTATTGAACTATATTTTTCCTTTAAATTTTCTCGCCATATTATTTCTTCTTGTTTTTCACAAGGAAGATCTTTAAATTGAACAAAACCTTGTTTTCTTGAAAATCCAGTTTTGTGGCATTTTAAGATGGATGCTCTAGAAGCAAGAATCTGAGCTCTTATAAATTTATATTATAACATTTTGTTTTACTTGTATATTTGTTAAATATTAACATATTCGAATTTGTTTTGTGGCAATGAATGTTAAGACTTTTTCCAATGTCACATTTCTCCATATTAATTATTTTTATTATTTATTACCTAACAAAATAATATAAAAACTATAAAATTAAAAGTAATTCTTTAAGAAAATACAAACAAGTAAATACCTTTAAAAAAAACAAAACAAAACTTAAGTTTGTTTTTTATATAAAAGGAGGTTTTAAGTCACCAATTTGAAATAATGAAATTTTTTTTTTCAAAATTAAAATTAATTTGTACGTTTCTGCATTATTTATTCATTTTATGCAAAAAAAAAAAAAAAAATCTAGGGAGATTGGAAAAGGGGCGTAGGGGCCTCCCGTGGAGGGTATCTCCCTTGGCCCATGACTATAAATGTCCTAAACTATTCAATAAATGACACTATTTGATGTTTTATTCAAATAAATGTTTTAAAAAATATTTTAATTGCTTTTGTTACAAAAATTAAATTTTTCTAAAAAGACACCATTTTTAAATGCAAATTTTGATCACGTATTAGAGAGACAATTGATGAATCTGATTTTTTTCAGTAGACCTAAGATGAAATAATGATATACAATTAAAATTTTTACAATAATACAAGTCAATAATTTTGAACAAAATTGGATAAATGAGGCATTTCTTGAGAGAATCGAGTCTTAGAAGTGCTATTTTTAGATTCCTCAAGTTAAAATCTATTAGAGTACCAAATTTTAGGAAATTTTCCCAAGCCATTATGAAGATACTATATGTCAAAGTTGCTTTGTAGTCGCTTCAGAAAATCACTAAAATGCTGAGTCAGCATTATTTCAAGTGACAATATCTATGGAACCCATATTTTTAACTAAAATTTTCGCAGTTATTATTTTTTTGATATTTACTGCAAGTGGTGTAAAAATAAACAAATTCTGAGACGTAAGGGTGTCATGGTCTGGATGATTTCATATATTTTTACCCAACAACAAAAAAAAAAAATAGCATCTCAAAATCTCAAAAAAAAAAAATACAGTCATATGACAATTTATTATGGCCACCTACAATTTTTTACATTCTCAGGTTTCAAAGTCTATTACTTTAATATTTTCTTAAAACTCAAAAGTATGTTTTTTTTATTTAATTTACTCAAAAGTAATTTTTATTTAAGAAATTGGTGTTTTTTATTTAAGAAATGGGTATTTTTTATTTAAGAAATAGGTATTTTTTTGACGAATAAAAAACATTTAACAAGTTGTTAATAAATTTTATTATTCAAATATTGCTACAAATATATTCAAGAACAATATTTGGTAATTCATTCTTTTGGCTCTATAATTGCAAGAATCCTTTTTAGCATACCTTTGATTTATTTTTTAGCCATTTTCTTCAATTTTTTATTATGGTTCCAATGGTGAATAATTTTTTCTATTAGATAAGCTTTGTTTGTAACATTTTTTTTTGTTTCCTTCTTTTATTTGTTTCTTTAGGAGTGCCCCAAAATTTTAATTTTAGGTTTGAAACATTTAGGTCAGGAGAGTTTCCTGGCCAATCAAGTAATGGAATATTTTGTTCTGATAGATATTTTTAAACTGATTTATCCATGTGACATGGTGCCCCATCATGCATGAAGGTTTTTTTTCTCCAACCAAACCATTCTGCCAATTGTGGCAATAATCTTTGTTCCAGGACTTTTTTATATTGTAACTGATTCATTATTCCTTCGACAATATAGAGTCTCCCTAGTCCCCTTCCACATATATCACTGGCTAGATCATCACAGAGTTGGGGTGTTTAACAGTTTGAATGATGCAGCCCAATAAGTATTTTTCCCCTTTTTTCTTTTTACATATTGAGATTTCTTTGTTAACACTTGGAAAGTTCTTATATATTATACAAGGATTGTTAAGCGAATCTTTAAAGTTTGATGTAAGAAAGTGGATATTTTAAAATCATTTAAATTAATTTTTCTAATTTCCAATCATCTTCTAATAAATTCATATACTTTTTGGCCCACTCCAGCCTTTTTTGCATCATTTTGTCAGTTTAGGCTTCTTAGCTAGACGTTGTGAAATGTAACCAGGATCCTAAGGACAACGTTGAACCGTTCTCTTTGAAATTTTGACTCCAAGTTGGTCCAGCTTTTTAGTTATTTCATTGTTGGTGGCCTGTCGATTTTCTTCAACAATCTTGGTTAGTATTCTTTCCCCGCATGGTGTTGGGTTTTTTTTCTTTCCACATTTACCAACCCTCTTTGGTATCAAGTTCTCCATATTAGCCATTTTTTTCTGTATATTTTGTACAGAAACCCATGAAGTACCACATTTTCTGGCAATTTCTTGTTGAGAAAAATAAGTATTTATTAAAAGTGCCTTGATTTCATTAATTTTTGTTGTAAAAAGTCCTTTTTTCCCCATAACTAAAATAAAATATCACATTTCAGTACTGCAGTTTAGAATTTGCTTTGGTACTCATAACTTTAAAAATATCAAATCAAATACAACTATTTTTACTTAATTTAAAATAAAATGAAATATTCAAGAAGCAATATTTTTACTAATTTAAATAAATATTTTGAAGATAACCTAATAAACGAATTCAAAACTCTGGTAATAAGACTTAACAAGTGTACATCGAAAAGATTATAATTAAGATCAAACATCATACAAAATGGCTGTCAAAAGTGATAGTGTTGCCAGTAGCAAAAAAAAAAAGTTCTCCATTCAACTGTTCTCTGTTTTTTTGTCTTATTTAAAGTTAATCACATGTGCAGCCTAGTGTGGTCCAGTAACTTTCTTATTTAAAAAATCAATCGTCCTTACGTGATTTTCCACAAAAGTTTAGTGTTAAAAAAAGTTATTGTTTAAAAGCTTTGAAAAAATTTTTTTAAAAAAAATAAATTTTTATATATCTTCTTATTTCAATTTATAATGTCTATATACTAATATATACTGTTAAGACAAAAAAATATCCTAAAGTTGTCTTTCTGGCCTCATTTTTTATATGATTTTTTCATTTTGACTAAAATTTGAAAAGTAAAATATTGACATTTCCCTGTTGAAATTGATGTACTGAACTTAAAAATCTTAGTTGCAAAAAATTAAATTATTTTAAAGTGCTGTGGTTCTCTAGATTACATTTAAAAAAAGTAAATTACACCAATACAGAAGTTTATTTTAGGGGTTTCAGTTACACTTAACCCACTGTGCTATGTAGGCCAGTGGTTAATGAATTTAATAAACATTTAATATTGAATTTAATAATTATTTTTGCAAAGATTCTCTATAATTTGTTATGTAATGACCAATATTAATTTTTAATTTAAATAGGTTTGGTTTCACTCAAAGAATGCATTTATGGAGTTTTGTATCTACTCATAAAGCTATAGTTTGTAGAGTATACATTGTAAGGGTATTCTCTAAGATGTCAAATAAATGTCCCTACTAGTTTAATAATAAAATATAGATTAGTGTTATGATACACTTAGTACTTTGTCAACCCTCGGAATTAGGGTCAGCATTCGGCAATGCCGACCTAACTGCCAACCTAAAAGTGTTCCAGGTTGGCAAAAAATTGCCGGCCTGGTTTCTATGTTTTATGGTCACACCTTTGTATCAAATAATTTTTGCCGACCTGATGCCGACCTCTAAAAGATTAAGGTCGGCAAATTATTGCCGACCTCATTTTTCCTAATTCCAAGGGTTGTACTTTGTAGATCATTATATAATAAACAACAACATGAAATAAGAATAATTAAATGGATAGCGTAATAAAAAGTGACAGCCTTAAAAGGTGCTAACTTTGGATATATGGTTTCCATGAGAGGTCAGTTGTAAAAGATAATTGGAGAATACATAAAATAGAGAACTTATTAAGAGTGTTGTCATTAATCAAAACAATATTTAAAAATTGAATGATAGTTTAAAGTTAGTAAGAAATCCATTTCTTCTTGAGCTGCTTTACAGTCATTTATTTGTATATATATTTATTTTAATATATATGTTAATTAGTTTTACACAAATTTTTATTTATTAAAATGGTCGATTTTATTTATTCTTAAGTTATATATTTTCAGAAACTTTTTCCAACATTTTACAGATTATAGTGTCAGCTTAAGGGTGGTCTTTGCCTAATTAAAAAATTTTTTAACGATTAAAAAAATAAAAATAAAAAATACAAACATAACTTACTTAAATATGTATTATCACTTTATATTGTTTTAAATGCTAAAAAACTTTATTTTGCTTTAAACATAAAACACAAAAGTATAAGAAAAAATTTAGAAAAAAAAAACTTAAAAAAAAAATGAATTATAATATAAATTATAAATATAAATTATAAATATAAACAAATTATAAATATAAACAAATAACTCTAATACCTAAACAAATAAACTCATTAAGATAAAGTAAAAATCTAATAAAATAATCTGAATTTTAGTAACTAATAATTATTTTCAAATGGAAGTAGTTTTTTTTTTATTAGAATAAGAATTAAGTTATTTACCAAATGTAATCTATGAGATATTTATAACTTATATTTTCATTAAGATTCAACAAAAATGCTTTTTACTCAACTTCAAATTGAAGATTTTGAATTTTTTGAAAAGTTGGGATCTGGAAGTTTTGGCTCAGTTTATAGAGCTAGATGGATCTCACAAAATAAAGAAGTAGCAATTAAAAAAGTGCTGTCTCTTGATAAAGAGGTAATGAATTTTATTACCTTACTTAAATTGTCTTATAAATATTATTTTCTATATATGATTTGAATTTTTTTGTTTTGTTTTTATATAAATATTTCATATATAGCTATTATTCTATATTTTCTATAAGTTATATATAATTATTGTTTTAGGCAGAGATCCTTGGTGTATTAAGTCATAGAAACATTATTCATTTTTATGGAGCAATTATCAATGCACCAAATTTCTGTTTAATTACAGGTTATTCGAAAATTTTCTTTTTTTAAACATCTTTATTAAAAACACTTTTTAAATAATATACAATATATATATATATATATATATATATATATATATATATATATATATATATATATATATATATATATATATATATATATATATATATATATATATATATATATATATATATATATATATATATATATATATATATATTAAGGATGTGACTTTTTGGTACCTTCTAATATAAAAAACAGATGAACTTTGGTTTGAATGTAACTGAAAAGTCATTGGTTTTATTTAATTTTTGAAAAAGGTCACCCATGACCTTTTTCGAAAATCCATGATCCTTGATTACTCACTAGCTCCCATATATCAGTGAATTTTTTTTCTTCAAAAGTATATCAACCTGGGTGTCAAAAGAACCTGAATTTTATATTGATTCAGGCTTGGTCGGGAAGCGGGTGCGATCGCAATGAGAGACAAAAAACTTTAAGCAAAATAAATATGATTAGACCAAATATTTTTGAAACGTTGCTCTTTTATAATTTTTTTTATAAAATCAAGTGACATTTTTTATATAAAGTAACAACTTACTTTTAATGATTGTTTAATAAGTAAACAAATGTTCTCCGATTTATCAAAGAGTATATATACTTTTTATTTATATACTTATGTCTTATTTCCAGTGCTGGATTGAGGAGGTGAGGGGGGGGGGAAGAGTAGAAGGGCTATAGCTTCGGGACTCACAATGTTAGGTGCTGCAACATAGTCAATAGGACCATTCTGTATTTTTTTCAGTCATTTTTACGCTGTGGCACATAAAAAAGTCCGCCGAAATAATGCAGTCCCTGCCCATGAAGAGTCCAACAAGATTCAATCAATAAAGCTAACGCTAGATGATTTGTTTATAATTAAAAAAGTTTTTTCAATAACTGTTTTATGCTTTGCGTAGTTTGAATAGTATAACACATTTGAAATAATTTTTCTTAGTAAGATGAACAAATGAAATAATTAAATCATTGAGTTACTGTAGAAATTCAATTAGCTAGATAGGAATTAACTAAACACGTTAAATTACTATGTGAGGAAGAAGCGGAACTGCTTAACAATAATGCTGAAGATGTTTATTGAGTGGGCTTTATAATTTTAATTAGTATTTAAAACAGAAAAAAGTAATTTTAAGTTTAAGTATAATGAGTTTGTAAGAATGGCTGAAGCAAAAATAATTGAAGTTAGTAAACCAATTTCTAAAAACTTAAAAACTTTTCTTTCTTGGGGGAAAGAATCAGTTATCAGGTACACTGAGGGAGATGGATTAGTGGTTAAAATTATTTGTATTAACTTTAATGACTATTAATAATTTCATTGAAAACGCAGTTATTATTGAAAGTATTTTTGTTTACAAAATCAATTGCACAAATTGCTTTAAAAGATTACATTTGAATAAAATACACATACATAAAATTACATGTATAAAAAATACATGCATAAAAATACATTATATACATAAAAAATACATTACATACATAAAAAATACATCCCTTATATAAAAAATAAGAATATAATAATAAAATCTATAATATATTCTCAAAACGTTGACAAGTTAAAAAAGATAATTTTAAAACATTTATTTTTGTAAATAAATAATGTTAGTTTAAAACATTTATAGCTTTGTAGATGTGGCTCTGAGAATTGAAATTATAGTTCGTTTGATATTATATTCTTAAAACAATTTATGCTAGAAATCTCAAAGAAAACTTAACAAAACTCAAATAATACAATTTTTAAAAATATTTAACAAAATACTCTAGAAATTTCGGTTAGTATTTTTTGAACCAATAGAATTAGTTGTTCGTAGATTTGGCGGGTTTTCGTGTTATTTTTATTTTTCCGCACAAAGATGTTTCAGAACATTTGAGTTTATGTATGTTTCCATGTATGTCCGTAAACAAAATATTTCAAATATTTACAATAAAATAATGAACTTAATTAAGGAAACATACATAAATTTAAATGTTCTCAAAACGACTAAAATATCTGGCCGGTTTTTCGCTACTAAATATTATTTCCGTGGTCAGTTATCAAGTGCGATCGCACCTGCTTCCCGACCAATCCTGTGATTTCAAAATTTTTTCTACTGAAACATTAAAAAGAAAATGTTGCAAACAAAATGTTATAGAAAACAACCTTTTCAGTTTTTAGTTAAAAATTGTTGTTTTTTGCATATAAAATTCAAGCAATTCATTTTTATTTGAAATTATTATTATTTCTGAAATCTCTATGAAATTTTGGTCATATATACACACGCACATATATTTCATATATATATACACACATAAATTTTATATATATATATAATTTATATATATATATATATATATATATATATATATATATATATATATATATATATATATATATATATATATATATATATATATATCTACTATATCTACTATAGCATATTTATATGCGCAATTGCTCACTTTTTTTGCTAGCCTAAATTAAGTGAGCATTTTTAGAAAACGATGAGGGAAAACGAAGAATAATGAATGAAAAGGTTGCTTGGAGATTTTTATAAACATCAGTGGTCCCCATTTGGAAAAAATTAAAAAACATGTTGCTAAAATATTTAAATTGAACGATCTTCTGATATCAACACAGTGCAACATAAAAATTGTAAATTATCTGGACATTATTGGGTTTTAACATAAGTTTTATAATAAAGGTTCCTTTTTTGTTATTTAATTTGAAAATGTTTTGATTGTGCAATTGACACTTTTAAGTATACAATACAGTGTTGGCCTAATTAATTGAAATTGCATACAACCACTGTGTTTTTGCAAATATGTCAATAAATTAAAAAATAAACTGCAAAAAGCATGCTAAATAATCTTTGATCTGCTTCGTTACTATAACATCACAACTAAAGATAAGCAAAATTTATTGATAAATTAAGATAACTCGTGTTTTTGATAGTTTTATTGAATTAGTGGTAATGTTAAATATGGACGATCTTCTCAAGCTATTTTCTAGACTGTTTTCAACAGCATTAACCATATTTGGGAGCCACCTAAATTAAAAATTGAGGACCTTTTTTTTGTACATTTTTTACGGCAAATATTGTTTTTCCGCAAAAAAATGCCTTTATTGGGCAATATTTATTACTAAATTTTTTCATTGTGCCTTCTACAAGTAGAAGCTACAGTGAGGCAGGACCAGTACAAAAGTGTGTTAAAGAAGCGTCTTGTTGCAAAGTTGAAGGAGTGCAAAAAAAGAATTGTAGGGCATTGGAGACTTAATTTTATGCATGATGAAGCATAAAATTAAGTCTCCAATGCCCTAAAAAAAAAATCTCCAATTTCATAAAAAGCATAAATTTGCCCAGTATCTGACTTTTTAGAGTATTAACGTTTTACCATAGCTGGGCAATAGCCCAAACATGAATCCTCTCCAGAGTTTGAGGTTGATTCTTAAAGTTGGCATAAGAAAGAAAAGAAACAAACTTTTAAGATTAACTCTTGAAATGTTGAATTGACTGGTAATTGCAAATGTCTGATTCACTCTATTCCTGAATGAATGCAAACACTTCTAAAGGATAAAGTTTCTTTCACCAAGTACTAGATAACAATCTCTTTACTGAACTTTTTTTGTCAAAAATTTGCTTGTTTGTGATTTGAATTAATTTGGCCAACTCTGTATACTATTTATATTTTGTTCTGAAAGTGTTATAACAAAAAATTAATAACACAAATTGTTTATTATTGGTCTTCGTATAATGCGTATTATCACACATTATATGTACTCATAAAATATGCCTAAAACATGATATAATTATGCAGTTATTATTTTAAGTTTGTATTAGTTGCCTTAATTATTTGAACAAAATGTCTAAATACAGGTTTTGTTAAATTAAGATGTAAAAAGTGAGCAAGTATGCGCTTTATTCAGTTTATATTCCCAGTCAGCGAAATTCAGGTCGGCATTTGGTAATGCCAACAACAAAAAAGCCGACCTATCTTTGCTTTAGGACGGCATACAACTGCCGACCTAATTATCCTAAAGTGTCGGCTTGCAAATTAATATACTTTAATCAAAAAATTATAAAATAATATTAATATAAAAATTTTATTTTATAATTTTTTTTATTGTAATTACTTGCTTTTCAAGTTTGAAATATTTTATTAAAACAAATATTTATTCATTTTTTTTCAATTCTTTTTAATCTTTTTTTCTCAAATTTATTCAAGCATAGCAAGGTTAAAAAATAGTACTTTTTAAATGCCTGTTGTTCTCATGCTTTTTTAAGCGCAATTGTTATTTTAAGTTATAAAATATAATTTACATGTTTACGGTTTTTTAAATATTATTTAAGATCAGCAAAGTCTATTAGAAAAATTTAACCCTAACCCTGATGTTAAACACATGCGGAGAAGAAACATTAGTTACAAAACTTTTTTTAAATTTAATAGAAGTTAAAGCTTCCATTAAATCGTAACAGACACAACAGTAATACAGTAAGCAAGCTTAAAACAAGACATTATGCCGATCAGAACTGTCACTAAAAAATGGGGGTTTAAATCCTGTCGATTACAAACTAATGATTCTTGTGAAGTAATTTTAATATGGTGTAAAACTTGCCAAGAGTATTCAGAGCTTTTAAAAAATTGTTATAATAAAAAAAAAGGCTGTGCTAAATTAGCAACAGAAACGTTTGTACGGGGAACATCAGTTATAAAAAAAAATAACTTAATGATGATTGGACAGAAAAATCTGATAATGAGTAAATTATGAAAATACGTCAATAAGACAATCGCCATTGCGCAGAAACAATGTTTGTTAATGAGAAAAAAAACTATTTTTAGTATTTTTAACTTTTGTTTTCCCTCCATCAATTTACATATAGTTACAAGTTCATACTATACCACAATTAAATGTTAAAAAACACCACCCCTACTACTTGAGAATTAAATGCTTATTTATCGTAGAGGTCAAACAACCGGATGTTAACTGTC